GAGAGAGGGAACACAAGCAGGGGGAGTGGGAGAGGGAGAAGCAGGCTTCCCGCGGAGCAGGGAGCCCGATGCAGGGCTCGATCCCAGGACCCTGGATCATGACCTGAGCCGAAGGGAGACGCTTAACGACTGAGCCACCCAGGGGCCCCAACTCTTGTACTATTACTAATACTCCAGCCAGCACCCCCTGGAGACCTCCGTAAATGGATAACCAAACAGAGAGAGAGCACCATCCTCCCTTAGAGTCAGTCAATCCCTTTGATTCCGTCCAGTAAAAGAGAAGGAAAGGACTTCAGAAAAGGCAGGGGTTAAACCCTACTCACAGACGATGTAGGAAATCATAATCCCCGGAACATAGTGTCCCAGCACGGCCAGCACAGCACAGCCAGAACAAACTCGAGCACAGAACTGCAGAGAAGAGCAGAGGGTCTAAAAAGTACACGCCCCATTCATCTGGGCAAGAAATTGCTGCTCAGCTGACAGAGGAGGGGTATGCCTTCTAGGGAGGTGGTGATCCGACCTAGTCAAGAGGATGCCCAAGACCACCAATTCAAGAAGCTTACACCAAACACCACCAAACACCTATAACTCAAACTGATCTGCCTTGACGAGAAGCAGTATAAAAACATCAAACGCATATTCCCGGAAATGAGACTACTCCTGTACCAAGCTACTACCGGCGAATGTTGCCTCAAAAAGGCACCAGCCCTCTTTCTCCAGTGGCCAGCCAGCCAGGGATTTCACATTACTCCTCCCCGCCTCCCACCCCCCTCTATTTCCCCACAGTGCAGGAAACCGTTTTATGATGTAGAGGTTACCTGAGCTGGATTCTGCCTCTTGTACTGCAGCAGCTCTTGCAGGTGAATCTGGAAGGTGAGCCAGCTCTCAGCCAGGTATCTGCACAACTCGGGCACACTCAGCAGGTGCGGCCGGGCGCCTGACCCCGCACCCTCACTGGGGAGACATGACATGACCCCTGGAGGCCTCAGACACCAGCTTCCTAGGCACTCAAATCCCTCTGAGAATGCCAATGAGATCTTCACCCTAAGCAAGCGGACAACCCCACCTCCCAAACGGAGGCTGTTCTGAACTTGGGGAAGCAAAGCCCAGAGTTTCCAAACCTCTGCCCCCAAAGGAGCAGGCACCCAAACACCTAAATAGGAACCCAGGACCAAACTTGTTGCCAGTCCATTTGCTATGCCGGGGTCTGTGCCTGCAGAAGCTGCCGTGTACTGTGTTGACACTGGCACCAAAGACAGGGTTTGGGTATTTGTCTTCAAGAGGTGGCCTGCACTCACCTGTCAGAGTGCGTCTCCTCTGGAGATGATGCTATAAAGAGAGTAGGGGAACAAGTTGAGTGGTAGGGCTCTGGGAGACACTCCCCGGGGCCGGAATGGTTGCCCCTCCTCTGCATTCCCAGAGCACTTTCTTCAGATGCCAATTACAGAAAAACTTACATTGTTATTGCTGTTTGTATTTGTATGTCTATCGCCTCCTTTAAACTTCCCTCTTTTCGTCTCTTTTTAAAAGATTTTATTATTTTTAAGTAATCTCTACACTCAACATGGGGCCCAAACTTACAACCTCAAGATCAAGAGTCACACGCTCTACCAACTGAGCCAGGCAAGCGCTCCAAACTTCACTATTTTCAAAGATTTTTTATTGATTTGCGAGAGAGAGAGAGAGAGAGAGAGATCAAGCGCACAAGCAGGGCGAGTGGCAGGCAGAGGGGGAAGCACGCAACTCACTGAGCAAGAAGCCCGAAGTGGGACCCCAGCCCAGGACCCTAGGATCATGACCTGAGCTGAAGGCAGACGCCCAACGCCTGAGCCACCCAGGCGTCCCAAACTTCACTCTGTTCAAACACACCTTTTTTTTTAAGATTTATTTATCTGACAAAGAGAGAGAACACAAGCAGGGGGAGCAGCAGGCAGAGGGAGAAGCAGACTCCCTGCTGAGCAGGGAGCCCAATGCGGGACTCTATCCCAGGACCCTGGCATCATGACCTGAGCCGAAGGCAGATGCTTAACCGACTGAGCGCCCTGCAAACACATCTTACTCATGTTTACATCCCAAGCAACTCACACAGCCTGACCTCTAATTGCTCCAAAACACCTATTTAGTAGATACACGGATAACAACAACAAAACAGAACCTAACACTCCTATGATTCCTGTGGTATGTGAAACTCTACCATAAACCTAACATGTATTTACTCATTCAGTTTTCACGTCCTTATTAAATAAATTTTATCATGCCGGTTTCATAAAAAAGAAAACCGAGGCCAGCAGAAATTGAGCGGCTCTTACAAGGTCACATGCATGGCAAATGGCAGAGCAAGCAACGGAACCCAGGCAAAGTGGCTGTAGAGTCCACACTCTTTTAACTACTACACTCACGTAACGCTGATTCTGAGAAGAGGGCAATTCCCAACTAGGGAAGTGCTGGTGCCTGGCAGCTGGTTGCCTGCTGTACATTTTCCCTCCCCTTTCAACCCACCCAGCAGGGTCAGGCACAAAGCAAGTGCACAACGGGGCTTGGTGAATGAAGTTAACACTCACCTGAGATGTCAGGGAAGAAGCGAGGCTGCCAGAGATCCAGCAGAAAATAGGCCAGAAGTGAGACGCTGAGTAGGAAGAAGGGCCGGAGGGACGACGAAGACAGCAACCTTAGGGAGAAACAGGCACCTCGGCGGTGAGTGGGTGAGAGGCTCCCGCATCCATGGCGAAAGGCTGAAAAGCGCCCACTGATGGGGGAACGGGAACCTCCAGGCCTAACTCGAGACCCGAGATAGAGGAATGGGGCAACCCCGACGGACAACAGCCGGGGGAAGGGGGTCATTCCCCCGGGGCAAGTGTCAACACCGGGAACGGGAATGGTGCTCGCGGCCCCTCCCGCCCCCGCTCGCCCGCGCTGCCCGGCCCCGCCCCCTCCTCCTCCGCGGCCGTTACCAGAAGAGGCCGTTGAGCGCGGCCGCCGTGACCAGGCTGTGCAGCGGTTTCTCCCACACCAGCAGCCGCTGCGCTGCCGCCAGCACCGCCTCCCAGCCGCGAAGCCGCAGCCACAGCGTCGTGGCCAGGCGACCCACCGCCTCGGCCGTGGCCGCCTCCTCCTCCGCCTCGCCGGTGGCCTCCCCCATGCCTAGGCTGAGACCCAGGCCCAGGCCGAGGCTCAGGCCCAGTCCCGGGCCCCCACCTGCGCCGTTGTTACTACCGCCACCGCCGCTCGCCATAGCCCCGTCGCAGCCGCCGCCCGAGCCCGTGAGGAGCCAGGGCTGCGCGGCCGCCGCCGAGGGCGCGTCAGGCGGAAGGGGGCGCACGCCGCGGAGAGCGCAGCCGAGGCCGCCGAGGCCCGTCACGTGACGGCGGAACAACGAGCCCGTCACGTGACGCACACTAACCGCCGGGTTAGGGCGGCCGGCGCCTGCGCGCAGGCAGCTACCAGCGACCCTGCTTCTGCGCAGGTTCGTGTTGTGGCTGCTGGAGTCGTGATTCCCCGGCCGGTTGGTGCGTTGTTGTGCTCTGCGGGGCCTAAGGACTGTATCTCCGCGTGTCTGCACGCCAGCCCGTTTTCTTCTCCCTGTGTAGGCAGGGCGGCTAGGGAGTTGGTATTCCTGGTGCGATGCGGACCGAAAGGGCAGGGAGTGGGCTTCCAAATGCCCAGTGTCCCAAATGCTTCTGCTCGGGAAGGGCGGCGGCCGTCCCATTACTCAGCCCTTGACTTACTGGTCCTTCCAGTTCCCTCCCCTCAGCGGATAAACAAACACCAGCGCGTGACTCGACCGACTCAAAAACAGCTTCGTCTAGTCAGAAAAGTTGTTTTCTCTTCATCCCCTTCCGTAAACTTTACTGCCTGCACATATCGGAACTCTTTCCGATCCCTTGCTCAAACAGGAGATTGGGGTTGCGGGGTGAGTTTAAAAATACAATCCTGATTAGATGTTTATTTTGGGGAGGCATGCTAATACCATTTATTGAGGCTTACAACGTACCAGGCGCTTTGTGGTCCCTTGTGATCATTTAATTTCTGCAGTAACCCCACAAAGAACGTAATTTGGTTTAGAATTCAAACTACTGGCAGGAAGGTATACAGCAAAAAGTTTCCTTGCCACCTTGACCACAGTGCACCCACTGAAGTTTTTTCCGTATTCTTTCCGGTGTTTTGTATGTATGTACATTGCTCTGTGTTATCTTTTTCAAAACATTTGGCAGCCACTCGTCCTGCATCTTGGTTTTACTTACATTAATTATCTACATTGGTACGAAAAGGTCAGCCGGGCTCGTTCATCCTCAGTGTGGCATGGTCCCCTGGGAATTGTCCCCATTACCCAGACGAGGACACGCTGGGGCTTAGATCTGGGACTCGCCCGGGCTCCGGGCGACCAGGAGGAAGGCGAGCACGGCTCCTCCGTGGCGGTCGGTTCTGGCGGCTGGGCCCAGCGGGTGGCAGGAAGTGCCGGGCGCTGACTCGCCGGCGACACCCCCGCGGCTAGTAAACGCCGGGCAGACGCGCGGCGGGGCAGACTCGCTGCACGCGCCTGGCAGCCCGGTCTTCTCTCCACTGCGTGAGGTGAGCGCCCCGGGCCCCCGAGGCCCGCACCGGGAGACGGATCTCGGGGCCCGGAGCCCCGCCCGGGGCGGAACAGGAAGAGGCGCCCGCCAGCCCGGCCCCGCCTGCCGCCGCCGGCGCGAGGACAGGGGGCTGCGCTGGCCAAGGCGGCGGTCTGCGCTGGGGAGGACGGCGCGCAGGCGAGGGCTCCGCGGCTCCCTTACCACGCGTTCCTTTCCACCTTCGCAGGGCGGCGAGTGGCGGCGCGATGGACCTGGCCGGGCTCCTGCTGGACGAAGAAGGCACCTTCTCCCTCACCGGCTTCCAGGACTTTACGGTGAGAGCGCGGCCCGCCCCCTCCGCGGCCTCCCGGTGCTTGAGCCCGGACCCCGGGCGCTCCCCTGGGCACCCGAGCGGGGCCGTCAGCTCCCCTGACGGCTTGGTCCGGAAGCCAGGGGGCAACCTCTCAAGCCTTGCTTACTCGAGGCCCCGGCTCCTTGGGCCCCGAGGGAGAGCCGCGGGGTAGAGGAATGGAGGTAGGGTTAGCCAGCCCGGGAGGTTCTCGGAGGACCTCTCCTGGGGAGCAGTCAGTGGCGGAGGATTCCCGCCCCCCGGGCCCCCCACTGTAGATAGGCTGCAATTGGCAAATAATCCGGAGAACGGGGTGGGGTGGGGCATGGGCTCCACTAGCAGTGAGGTGAGACTGCTGCCCCACACCCCACTTCCACGCTGGAGCCAGGATCTCCACTGTAGCCTTCTCTGCCCTTCACCCTCCGCCACCTGCCGTTTTTCAGTTCCTCCCCGGACACCAGAAACTGAGTGCTCGGATCCGAAGGAGACTCTACTATGGCTGGGACTGGGAAGCTGACTGCAGCTTGGAGGAGCTCTCCAGCCCCGTGGCAGGTTAGTGTTGCGCGATTGGACAAGTGAGAAGCATGAAGATGGGGTTGTCAGCCGTCACCGAAATGAGTAGGTGCATACCCCCTGAGCTACACTGTCTGGTCATAGCTAATTTACTGCTACCTAGTACAAGGACCCGCTTTCCGTTTCACGTTTTTTTCAGTCCAGATGAGTAGAAAACATTGCTGTCTTATGAATTTGTATCATTCTTGATTTGTATATGAGATACATATAGGTATCCCGAATTCACAAGGCCTGTTTATTTTCTCAGATGAGCAGGGCAAAAGACAAATCTAGGTAATTTCACGTGACCTGGAAATAAGCCTTTCTGCTGGAAGGAGCTGAAATTCAAATGTGGAATGGGCCTTTGTCTCAACATGGGAGAATTTGATCTATTTTGTTACTGTGGTCCTGTCCCTAAGGCCTCAGATCGTAGAGATCTGAATTTTCTGCTGATAGCAGCGGGAACTAGGTGTGCGTGGGGGCAGGGTGGTAAGGGAGGAGTTGTTTGGCTACTCTGCCTTCTTTTGCCTCCTGCAGACATTGCTGTGGAACTGCTCCAGAAGGCAGCCCCCAGCCCTATTCGCCGACTCCAGAAGAAATACGTAGCTCATGTGTCCCGGTGAGCCTGAAATTGAGGAGGACAGGATGAGAATGTTTGGGCCCTAGGGAAAGAGAAATAGTTATCTCTAAAGAGAAGATGTAAAGACACAGGGGTGAGCGTCATAAGAGTTCTAAGAGCGGAAAGATCCCTGGGGTTAATTAGTGACCCTTTCCACCACGCAGGGAGGCGTGCATCTCCCCGTGTGCCATGATGCTTGCTCTCGTGTACATCGAGCGGCTCCGGCATCGAAACCCAGACTACCTACAGCACGTGTCATCCTCTGACTTGTTCCTCATCTCCATGGTAGGACGCCCCTCCCCTTCATCTCCCTGGTGAGCCAGGAGCTGGGTGCCAGCTCTTCTGACACCGCTTCTGGCCCCTCTGCAGATGGTGGCCAGTAAGTACCTCTATGACGAAGGGGAGGAGGAGGAGGTCTTCAACGATGAATGGGGAGCTGCAGGGGGCGTGGCCGTGCCCACTCTCAATGCCCTGGAGCGGGGCTTCCTGAGTGCCATGGTGAGTGGCTGTTCTGTCTCTCGCTCAGTTCCTCTGAGCTCTCATTGTGTTCCTTTCATCCTCTGCTTTTCTCTGTCAGCGTTCTGTAGATTCTTTGTTTCTCTTTTTGCCTCTTCTCCTTGTGTGTTTTTCCTTATTAGTGGCTTCCCTCCCCACCTTCTGGAGGTTCCTGGCATGGTGAGGCCAGAAATGGAGCAGCTGCTGCCGCCTCCCCCAGCCCCCCCCCCGTGCCCCCCCATTCCCTCAGGCCCTACATGTTACACTCTGAGTCACAGCTTATCTCCCTGGGTTCTGATTATTTGCATCCAGACTTTCTCTGCCTCATGACTCTGAGCTCCCTATGGGCATGGACCAGTCTTAGGATTATTTTCTCTCTTTGCCCTTAACGGAGGGAGTACCGTGAAATCAGATAGTGTGGTGTTAAATGAGTTAATATGTAAAAGGTCTTGGGACGGTATCTGGCACAGGAAAGTCTGCGGGAGCGGTGCTTGTAGGTGGTGCGGTGGTCCTGGTTGTTAAGTGACTGTGGCTCATATCTGAGCTTGCTCGGTGCCCTTGTCTTCCTGCCCGTAGGATTGGCGTCTCTACACTGACCCTCGGGAGATCTTTGAGGTGCTGAGCTGGCTGGAGAGCTGGTAGGTTCTAGAGTTGGAGAGAGGGCTCAAGGGATTTGGGGGCTTAGACATGTAAGAGGTCGACAGAGAGGAGGGTCTGGGTAACTGGGGGGAGGGAGGAGGCAGGAAAGAGAATCGCCCAAGGCAGTGGTTCCTAAGCCATTGTAATCACCTTTGGAAGGGTGGAAGGAGCTTATTTAAAATACAGACCTCAGTCTCATCCTCAATTCCTGGATCAACAGGTAGCCTAGGAGTCTGTGCGTGTAACAGGTTACCCAGTGTGTCCTGGGGGGTCCCTAGGGGAATGAGGCTGCCACTGGGCCAGCTGCGGGAGAGGTGTAGATGCCATCTGTCTTTCTCCCCCGCCAACAGTGTGGCTGAGCAGCAGGGGCGGCGGCGGGGCTGGTACACTTACACAGACCTGTGTGTGCTGCTGGAGCAGCCGGCCTGGCAGTTGGCCCTGGGCTCCCTCTGCCAGCGCCTGGCAAAGGTGAGGAGGGTTGGGAAGGAGAGAGGCCGGGAGTGGGCTGGTGTGTAGGGGGGGATGAGCAAATGCCGAAGGCCTCAGGAGATGGGCTTTGAGAGTAGATGGTGACAGAGAGCCCTAACTTGAGCAGACAAGGGTGGGTGGGTTAAAGGCAGAAGCGGGTCTTGGGGGAAGGGTGTCTGGGCACTGACTTTTCTTATCTTCTCTCCCGCAGCTGTCCTGCCTGTTAGCTATGGCATACGTGAGCAGTGTGGCCCTGGTGGTGGCCTCGGTCGCTGTAATTCACCAGTCCTTGGGGCTGTCCTGCAGCCCCTCACCAGGCCCCCCAGACCTTGGTCTGGCCTCCAGGTGCCTCTTGGAACCCTGCATAACTTCTTCCGTGCCACAGGGCCTGCCATGTCCTGTTAATGTCTCCGGTGGCCTAGAAGGCGACCCAGGGCTGCGTTCACTCTGGGGCAGTCTCCTGGCCTCACTGACTCCTCCACCATTGCCTCCCCCAGACCCTCCTGCCCCTCCCACTCTTCTCCAGAACTGTCCCCTTTGTCAGAAGCTCCAGAGAGACTCCCCAAGCTGCCACGCCTGCCACCACTCCAACCATACAGTCCCCACTGGGCGCCCCAAACCTGGGTACCACTCCCATGGCCTGGCTCCACCCTGGCCCTGGAGCCCAATGCCCCCCCTGCTCTCCCAGCCCCAGCAGTGTTCCCTTTTCAGTGTCATGGAGTTAGCCCGTCTCAAGTCTTTCATTTTCCCAGGCTAGGCAGGCCTCCAAGGAGTACAGTAAGAGGATCTGGGAGTCCCTGAGAACCTGGAGGGGCAAAGCTTGATTTAGATCCTCTCTACCTCTCTGGGTCCTTGGCTGGTCCCTGTCCTCCTAGGTGATGGAGCTTAAGGGGTTGTGGGGCAGAAAGACTGAAGGTCACTCACTCTCCTAGACCTCAGTGGCTGGTTGCTTGGCCAGGGCAGTGATGGTACCAGGGGAAGCTTCAGCTTGGTGACCACAGCCAGCCAGAGGAGAAGCCCCTGTCTCTCTACCTTCCTGGCTTCTAGACTTTTGCATTTGAGTTCCCTAGGATGGAAGGGTAAAAGTGGGGTGAGGGAGAGGGGGGACATTGACTGGGGGCCTGTGTGATGTCCCTGAAGCAGGAGAGCCAGGGACGGATAAGGCTGAGGTGGGGTCTGCCGAGGGAAGGCCGGGGGCGGGGGGAACCCTCTGCACACCCATCCCCCCGGATATAGCCTAAAGGAGCCAGGGACTGCTGGGACCTTCAGCCTTTCCCTTTTGTCTTCCAACCTCTTCTTAATAGCTTGCTCCTGGGCTTCCCTCTCTTCCGGTTTTCTCCTGGGTGTTCTCTTCACAGGCCACTCTGGCCACCGCTTTGTATCTGGGTTTTTCACGCTTTTGTAGAACTGAGGTTTCAATAAACAGTTTAAGTTGCATGGCCTGGATTCTTTCTTCTGCAGCAGCCCTGGAAGAATCTCCCCACCCCCTGCCCCATACCTGAATTCTAAGCCTTTCTACTTCCTCAGCCCGTCATCTTGCAACTCATTCTCCCGGAGCCCCATTTTAGGACTTCCCTGTTTGAGGGGCACCTGCGTGGCTCAGTGGGTTGGGCGTTTGACTCTTGGTTTCAGCTCAGGTCATGATCTCAGGCTCACGAGATCAAGCCCCACATCGGGCTCCGCACTCAGTGGGGAATCTGCTTGAGATTTTCCTCTCCCTCTGCCCTCCGCTACACAAGTGTGCGCTCTCTCTTTCTAAAATAAGTCTTAAAAACAAACTTCCCTGTTTTTGATGATTACAGACTCCCATTTCAAACTTACTCATCCCTGCTCTCAGCACCCTGGGGCCCCTAGTGCTGCTTGACTTGGGTGCTGTGGGGCACAGATGGGTGACTCTACCATGCCTGAGCCGGCCCTGTCCATCACAAGTTCTGGGGGGGGCCCTATCCTTGTGGATTCTGAGAGGCCAAGTTAAGTGTCCTTGGCAAGCCCCAAGGATGCCTCTCTATCCTATCAGTCTGGTCTGACACCCAGTGATAGTTGGTGGTGTTAAGACAAGTCCAAGGCAGGTTATCATCGGAAGAAGGAAAACTTTTCTGGCACCTGGACTGAGGGTATTTGGGACTGGTTGTACTGCCCCCTAGGGGGCACTCTGGAAACATGGGGCATTTTTTTGCTAGAGGCAAACATTTGAAGGGATGCTACTGGCATTTAGCTGGGCAACCTGAAACGCTTCAGGCCCCTCCCTTATGATGAAGAATTCTCAAGACAACTTTTGAATGACCCACAGGACATCACGTATATGAAAAGCCTGTTTATCTGAACCTAGAACTTTTTAACACGTAAACACGAAATCGTTTTTGCACGTTTTGAAAAAGACGCCGTTTGCCAGGAATGTACCTACGTGTAAATTAAAACCGGACTTTGCTTTGCTCAGCACTTTGCCAAGAACCGGCTCATTATTTTGGAACACCAGGTCACCAATGGCCGCGCTGCTTGGCACATGAATCGCCAAGAAAGCAGCGGTATCAGTTGCCATCGTAGCTGCTGCATGCACAGTGATTCTACGTAGGGGGTGGGCCGTGGATTACATCGCCTTCTTGTTTAGCTGGGCCCAAGCTTTCACATGTGAAATACTTGTTATCACCAATCACTTTCATTTCTCCTTTCTGTTACGGTGAGGAAATTGTATGGAGTTGTGCTCACTGTTGCCATGCACCATGGACGGGTATTACCCATGCATTTCCTTCCTAGGCAGTCCCCATGGGGGCTGGACCCTGAAAGGGTTGAAAACTGGGGTAACAGCCATCTTTCCAAATGCTGGTGGGGAGGAGGGAACACTGTAAGACCTCCCCGGGGTATTTTATAAGTCTTCTTCCCAGCCCACTTACCATGCTTTGCAGAGCGTGGAACAGGGGATCTAGATGGAGATTCTTGGGGGGAGGGGTCCAGAACGTGGCTCCCCAGTTAATGGGTGATGGAATTTGCACAAGAGCTGGGCAAAGGTGAAAGGGCCTGTCCTGCCCCAAATCTCTCATCCCTTTGCTCCGCTTCACTGACCCCTCCACCCCCTCCCCGCTCCAGGCAGCTAACTTCATCCAAACTCTGACCTCTTACACTCTCTACTTAACTCTGGCCCAGGGCAGCCAAGACGAAGAAGAAAGCAGGGCAGCATGAGCCGATCATCCCCCCATCCCATCCAACTCCAATCCATGGGCCCCCAGGATGCCCTGGTTCCCCTGTCGCCGCCGCCTGCTATCCAAAATCCCTCCTCTAACCCTTGGGCCTCTCAGTGTGGGCCTCCTCCCTGGAGCCTCAGCTGTCTTCTGGCTCTGCAGGTAGGAGCAGAGGTGCAGGAGTTGGTGCTGGCTGAAGGGATAGCTGGGGGGAATAGGCGTGGCATGAGAAACCCTCTGGAAATAGCTATTTCCACCCCTTTTCTGAAGACCGCCCTTCCCATTCCTCCCCCTACAGCATATCTTGGTCCTGGCTTCTCTGCTCTGTGCCTCCCACCTGCTCCTGCTTCAAAGTCTCCCCCCGGGAGAGCTTTCGTACTCCCCTGCGCAGCTCTTGGCCTCCAGCCTCTTTTCGTGTGGTGTGTCTACCACCCTGCAAATCTGGATAGGCAGCAGGTGAGGGGAACTCCCTGGAGAGAAGGGGGCGGGTCCTGTGTGTGTGTGTGTGTGTGTAGGTGTGTGTGTACTCGTGTGAGTGTAGGAGAGGCCTGAGGACTCCTTTTGGCTGCCACACGTTTCCAGACCTGCTAGGGCTGTTGTTCCTACAGGCTCCCTCTTGTCCAGGCTCCATCCTTACAGTTCCTTGACCCTGCTCTGGTGCTGACCAGCCAGAAGCTACCTCTGGCCACCCAGACACCTGGAAACTGTGAGCACAGAGCAAGGGCAAGGGGTGAGGGTGGGGTGGGGTGCCAATCTGAGCCTCCAGGCATAGGTGGGTGCAGGATGGAGAGCGGGCAGTGATGGGAACTGCTAGGCTTTGGGGTCTTGGAGCTGTGCAGATCACGAGGTAGGATTGTAGAACACTGGGGTTCTGTCCCACTTACCTCTCTCCTCTCCACGCCCCCAACTTTTCCCAGCCTCCCTTGTGCTGCGCCTGTGTGGGGGGCCTGGCTGCCATGGCCTGGGGCTCTGGAACACTTCTCTCAGAGAGGTGAGTGCCTGGGGGTGGGGAGCAGGAGGGCTGCAGGTCGTGCCAGGATGGAGGAGGTTCCTGTTTCCAGTCGGTGGGGACTGAGATGGTCTGGGGGAAGGAGCTGGGGCAGGGACCCACCCCTGGAATTCGGAATTCATTAAGAAGTCCAGGCTGACACCAGAAAGGATGAATACCTACCATTTACATCAACATGGATGGAACTCAAGGGGATTATGCTAAGTGAAATAAGTCAAGTAGAGAAAGATAATTATCATAAGATTTCACTCATATGTGGAATATAAGAAATAGTGCAGAGGACCATGGGGGAAGGGAAGGAAAACCAATGGGAGGAAATCAGAGGGGGAGACAAACTGTGAGAGACTCTTGACTCTGGGAAACAAACTGAGGGTTGGAGGAGGGGTGGTGGGTGGGGGAATGGAGTAACTGGGTCAGATGGGCATTAAGGAGGGCACGTGATGTGATGAGCACTGGGTGTTATATGCAACTATGAATCAATGAACAGTATATCGAAAACTAATGATGTACTATATGTTGGCTAATTGAATTTAAATTTAAAAGAAAGAAGAAGAAGTCCAGGCTAAGGTCAACTCCATTGAGCAGAACGCTTCCTCTTTGTCCTTTTCTTGGCTCCTCCAGGTGTCCGGGGCTGTGGTGGTATCCGGGCTGCTGCAGGGCACCCTGGGGCTGTTGGGGGTTCCTGGCCACTTGTTCTCCCACTGTGGGCCCCTGGTGCTGGCCCCCAGCCTGGTGGTGGCAGGGTTCTCTGCCCACAGGGAGGTGGCCCTCTTCTGCTCTACTCACTGGGGCCTGGCCTTGCTGTACGTAAGTCCTGAGAGGCGTGGGGTGGTGACCAGTGGGTTGTGGGGGCCTGGGGGAGGGCAGAGCAGCTGGCCCTACCCAACTCAGCAGCCATCTGAGCAGGGCCGATCCTTTATGGATTTGGAATCCCGGATTTTTGCTGGATTCATTTGGTTTCCCTGGCTTTGCACTGTCTCTCGCTGACCCCTCCTCCCCCCACCAAGGTATCTTCTTTCCTCTCTTGTCTGGGACCCCTTTTAGGGAATTCTGCCACTCCTACCTCCATTAACCCCCACAGGATGCCTGCTTCCTCTTGCTCCTAAAGCTCCTTCTCTCTCCTAGGCTTATCTTGCTCATGGTGGTCTGTTCTCAGCACCTGGGCTCCTGCCAGTTACCTCCCTGCCCCTGGAGGCCAGCTTCAAACTCTTCTCACACTCCCATTCCCGTCTTCCGGCTCCTCTCGGTATGTTGGGGTCTGCGCAGGGCAGTTGAGGGGAGGAGGCCTGGCATAGAATGCTTGCTCAGCCTGCTACCTTTTGGCTTCTGTCTACCCCCTCAAAGCCTGGCTTGGAAGGTTCTGGGGGAGGGGTTCTTCCCTGTCTCAGTCTTGCCCCTCAGGTGCTGACGCCAGTGGCCTGTGTGTGGATCATCTCTGCCCTTCTGGGTCTGCGCATCATCCCCCCAGAGCTGTCTACCTCCCCCGAGGCGCCATGGGTCTGGCTGCCTCACCCAGGTAGGTTGGCTCTTCGTCCTCCATTCTCTGACTCAAATAAAGGGTCTATTTCTTTGGACTCAAGATGGAGTGAATTTTATTTCTGAGTTAAGTCCTGTGTTTTCTCAAAACACACAGGGGAGAGAAGTTGCCAGTCTGAGGGGCAGTGCTGGCCCCTCGTCACAGGTGTTTTATTGAGTGTTAAGAGACCTCTGCAAGCCCACCACTCCCCGTTGATACTCCTTACCCAATTTCCGCATTTGTGCCCCCTCCTCCCACAGGCATTTGAGTTGGTGACCTAGGTATAAAAATTGCTTTTGAGGCACTGTGTACAAAAGTTGTTCATTCGTCAGTTTAATAAAGGTCTGTTGAGCGCAGATTTTGTGCTGGGCACGTGATAGGGGACATGGTGATAAATATGACAGACACAGTACCTATACTCATGAAGCTATATCTGCTGGGGAATGCAGATACTAATTAAATAGTCACCCAAGTAAATGTGAAATTGCATGTGGTAAGTGTAACAGTGGGGAGGTACATTGTGTAATGACAGCTTAAAATGGAGAATCTGACTTTATCAGAGAGATCCAGAAAAGTATTCTTGAGGAAGTGATCTTTGAGCTGAGATGTGAGAGATGAGTAGGAGCTAACAGGGTAAAGGCAAGGGAGAAGAGCATTCTAGGTAGGGAGAACAGCACATGCAAAGGCCCTGTGGCAGCCAGCCACACAGCAAGTACAAGGGCCTGAAATAAGGCCAGGGTATCTGGAGTGAAGGGAGTGAAGCAGAGTGTGGTGAGAGATGAAGCCTTGTAGACCATGGTAAAGGGATGAGTCTTTATCCTGAGTTTGTTGGTTTTATCCCAAGACGTTATCTTCACAGACAATGCGCTCTCCAGGATTCTTGTGGCACAGAACTTTGGAGGCAGGGGGATGCTCCAGACTGGTGTCTGGCCCCAAGGTGGCTCTTTCTCCCTCCCCAGCTGAGTGGGACTGGCCCTTGCTGACACCCAGGGCTCTGGCTGCAGGCATCTCCATGGCTTTGGCAGCCTCCACCAGCTCCCTGGGCTGCTATGCCCTGTGTGGCCAGCTGCTGCAATTGCCGTCCCCACCTCCACACGCCTGCAGTCGAGGGCTGAGCCTGGAGGGTCTGGGCAGCGTGCTGGCCGGGCTGTTGGGGAGCCCTATGGGCACTGCATCCAGCTTCCCCAACGTGGGCACAGTGAGTCTTATCCAGGTATGTGGATGAGGATGGGGCGGGGGAGCTGGGAGAGGGGAGGAAACTCACACTGACTGGTGGCCATCTGTGTCCAGCATTCTGTCAGGCACTCCACATCAACGATCTCATTTAGGGAGGTGCCTAGAAGTGGTAAGGGGCTAGGAGCGGGAAGAAGACACTAAGTCACCACTAAATTCCTTCTATGACTCAGGCACTGTACCTGGGCTGGGGATCCAGTGAGATGACGTCATATAAAGTCCCTGCTCTCTTGGGCACTTCAGAGAGGGAGATGCAGATGATTTAAGGAACCAAGTAAGATAGGGACACCTGGGTGGCTCAGTTGGTTAAGCGTCTGCCTTCAGCTCAGGTCATGGACCCAGGGTCTTGGTATCGAGTCCAGCATCGGGCTCCCTGCTCAGCAGGGAGTCTGCTTCTCCCTCTGCCTGTGCTCTCTCTCTCTCTGACAAATAAATAAATAAAATCTTTTTTTTTTCTAAG